GTACCAGGAGCCGAAAACAAGGAGCGTCGTCGCGGGGGAACAAGAGAGGCATTTCGTCGAACACCCGATTGGCACCTCCATCAGCACACACCCGCACCTGTGCTGTTACACACCGCCAAAAACCAAAAGAAAAAACCTTTGTCACGCTCACGCATGCAAGGAGGCAGGCAATTGGCAAAGAAAGAGAAAGCCACGAGGGATACTGAACCGTGGTCCCAGAGAATAGGAGTAAATCTGGGAAGGCGCTGGTTAAGGACAACAAGTGCGTAGGTAACACGGGAGCTGTGGTCGTTGCCGGGAAGAAGGAACGTGGAAGAATGAGTCATCACATCCATTTTCTGCTTATTCAATTTAAAAAAAGAAAGAGAAGCTTTGCGGTTTTCAAAAATTGAAATTGATAGAGAAAACGATGATAAGAAAGGGATGGCTGATGTGATGACGATGATGATGAAACAGCACCTTGTGTTTTTTATATGTAATGAGATGATTTTTAAAGCATTAAATTAATAGATGTTTTTAATATTAAAAAATATTTAAATTGTTGCCATCAAATTCTGAAAGCTCATTCCTCGCTCCCCAGGACTCTCTCTCTCTCCACCAAAATAATTGTTGCAAGCCACACAAACTCAACTCCACGAATGTCTCTTCCCCACGACGCTGACACCACCAACGGAACCTGTTAAGACTGGCACAACACCCATCCTTCTTCTAGTTTCTCGCCAACTTCACCCGCCCCAAATAACGCAGTTGAAAACACCACCATAAACATTAATACGACCCAACAATCCATTTATTATCATAGCCTCATCACACAACCTGACAATCCCCTTTCTCCATCTCTGAACACCACAACCCCAATCCCTTTTGACACGATGTATCTGTCTCGATTCAAAAAAATAATAAGCAAGACAAGACACAAATTAATCAAAAAGATGGAGTTGGAATTGAGATTAGAGAAGAAATGCACAGAGGAGTTAGAGATGCGTAGAGAGTTGGTGACAAGCCGATAATATTTCACTTAAAATGGAAAACTTGTAATATCTTATATATAACTTATTTGTTAATTCAGTTCACGCATTTACGATTAAACTATGGTATTTTTCTAATAATAACAACAACAATAACAACAGCAATGTTGTTATTGTTGTAAATGTAAATCCAAGTTTCTAATTTTACCTTATAATTGAGGTTTAATTTATAATTATAAACGTCTAATAATAATGATGATTGAATTATATAATATAAAACTAGTATGCTATTTCCTTAGTATTATAAATAATATTTTTATATTATATATAAAATTAAATCACGTGGAAAAAATTTTGTTAATCAAGACTCATTATACTATAAATTAAAATAGTGATAAATATATGTATCGTTCACTAAAACTCGTTACATCATAAATTGCATATTTTATGAAAATATTATATGTTGCAACCTGAGGCACAGACACATGGTGCAAGAGCAATCATTCTCAGTCACAAAAGTTTCAAAGTTGCAGGGGGGGTTGAGCCCTCAGGCCGTGAACAACTGGCGTTTGGATTGTCATGTCTTGGTGCTGGGCCAAAACACACGAACCAGACTGTCCAACTAGGCCAGTAGGTCTATTAACATGGACTCCCTTCTGTTGGGTAAAACGTCCAAACCCACATGTCTTGAGTTTGGATACATATCTCAAACCCAACCCAAATGCTTTTAGGTTTGGTTATGGAAAGACACAAACCCCAACTCCATTGCCAGCTATGGACCCATCCCCTAATCTTCTTGGATCCAGACAGGAAAAGATCCACACTAAAACCCATTTTGGGTTCTAACGCTAACCCCAAACTCAAACCTTTTAGGTCTAGACTCCGAACTCATCCCATACCCCTTTAGACCCAAACACAAAAGTACCCCAATCCAAACCCTATTAGGTCTGGAAACAAAGGACTCAAACCCTTTCAAGTCTGGGCACGGACCCAACCTCTAACCCTATTAGGTCCAGCCACAAAGCTATCCCTCAATCCTCTTAGGCTCAGAAATGGAAGGACCCACACCCAAATTCATTTTTGATCTGGCTGCTGACCCTAAACTCCTTGGGTCCACTCTCTGAACCCATCTTAACCTCTTTGGATCCAGACATGGAAGGACCCAAATCTAAACCCTCTTAGGTTCGAATAGGAAAGGGCCCATACCCAAAACCTATTTTAGGTCCTGACACGGATGACTCAAACCCAATTCCTTTAGGTTGGACTCTACACCGAACCCAAACCTTTTAGGTCAAACACCAACAGGCCCAAACCCAAAAACCCTTAGGTCCAGACCCCTACCCTAACCCTAACTCGTATTGGGTCTCGACATGGAAGCATCCAAACCCAAACCCAAACCCAAACCCAAATCCTTTTGGGTCTAGACACGATGGACCCAAACCCCATTTAGTCTAACCACATAGCTATCCCCTAACCTTTTTTTTTCCAAAAATAAAAGGACCTACACCCAAACCTATTTTAGGTTTGGACGCTGACGCCAAACCTAAACCCCTTGAGTCCAAACTTCGAACCCATCCTAAACTCTTTAAGGTCCAGAATGGAAAGACCAAAACTCAAGCCCCCTGACACGACGAAAAGATTAATATCTTCTTCCAAGTGCAGGAGTATCGAAGTAATAAATAACCCGGTAAGCCGAGGTCGAACCACATGAAGGTTAATTGTACAAATCATAAACAACAACAATAGTAATAACAACAACAACAACAATATTAATAGCAAGTGGGTGACCACCTCTTGACTTGGTGACAATCCTTATCTTTTCTTGTCTGCCCAAAATGTCATTGATAACGTCAAAATTAGAGCCACTTGAAAACATGAAAGTTGTAGGAAATTGTCTCATCTTTCTTGTGTAAAACATTCAGTCATTTGAACTTCTAGAACTCCAGATATGGGTCAAACACTGAACAGTGCTCGGGCTGGAAGATACATTCAGAATTCTTTATTGTTGCTATAATTTGGACTTGAAAATGGCCTTTTTAAATCTTGGGCTCCATATGAAAGTTGTAGGCCTATGTCTTACCTTTCCATCCATATAAAATAGATCTAAATCTGAGATCTACAGCTCTAGATAGACCCAATTACCGAACAGTGTTCCGGTTTGGATTGCACCGACATCTCTTTTCTAAGTTTGGCCATCTCTTTGTCCTTTCAATTTCAGTTCTTAATAACTCTTTAATTAAAGCATGTTTTATAATAAAATATCTAATAATATAAGATATATTTAATTTATGGTAAATATTCATTTTAAATACAAGCCTATCATATAAATAAAAGGATTGATTGATGAATTTAAGAACTGAAATTGAAAGGACAAAGAGATGGCCAAACTTAGAAAATGGATGCCGGTGCAGTCCAAACCAGAATACTATTCGGTAATTAGGTCATATCTGGAGCTGTAGATTATAAATTTAGGTCTACTTTATATGGAAGGAAAGGTTAGACAGAGGTCTACAACTTTTATATGGAGCCCAAGATTTAAAAAGGTCATTTTCAAGTCCAAATTATAGCAATAACAAAGAAGTCTGAATCTGTCCTCCAGCCCGAGCACTGTTCAGTATTTGGCCCATATATGGAGTTTTAGAAGTCCAAATAACCTTAATTTTTTACACAAGAAAGCTGAAACAATTTCCTATAACTTTCATTTTTTCAAGTGGTTCTAATTTGAACGTTATCAATGATGTTTTGGGCAGACAATAAAAGATAAGGATTGTCACCATGTCAAGAGTTGGTCACCCACTCATCAATTAGTCATCAAATCAATAATTCTCAATTTTAGCCTATAAAAGGAGGTATTTTTCATGCATTTAGGCATCTTGGTTTTCATATCAAGATCATGCTTTTGCTTTCTCTCTTTGTATTTTTTGTAATGTTTATTCTTTGCTTTCATTAATATCAAGTTTATGTCTTTCATTTTCTTTCATTTACTTAGTTAATTTTTATCTTATTTATGTTCTTATTTTGTTTATTTATTTATTTTTTTTCATTATGTTTAGTTAAGTTTATTATGTCAAGATGAAAAGGTTACACTAATGGTGTAAGAATAAGTATAGTGTAAACTTAATATGGACTTTAATGTTTGATACTAACATGTTTTGTATTTGTTATCTTGTTCACTTTTTAACACTTTGCTTGTTAAATGACTAATCTAGATTTATGTTGTATAACACTTGATACAACAAATAGCTGGCACTTTCATATCCCATACTGTATGGTATAACTGACACCTGAGCTATGAGAGGAACTTGATTTATTGTTAACATAAATTATAATCATGAATGCCTGACGAGATTTACAAGTATTAGCATTAATCGAATAAGATAACTAATGTGATCATGTTAACAATTTATAATTTGATTGGAACCTCCTTTATGTGTGGTTTTCAATTGAATAATAAGAGTTTATACTATACTTGTTTGACATACTGATTAGTACTTAAAAGTGCATTTTTATCATGGTTTTATATCATCATTTTGCACTTGAAGTATCAATAACTCCTTAACCAAAGCATGTTTTATAATAATATATCTAATAATATAAGATATCTTTAATTTGTGGTAAATGTTCATTTTAAATGCAGGCCTATCACATAAATGAAAGGATTGATTGATGACTTTAAGAACTTAAATTGTAAGGATAAAGAGATGGCCAAACTTAGAAAAGAGATGTCGGTGCAATCCAAACCGGAACACTATTCTGTAATTGGGTCATATATGGAGCTATATATCTCAGATTTAGTTCCAATTTATATGGATGGAAAGGTAAGACATAGGCCTACAACTTTCATATGGAGCCCAAGATCTAAAAAGACCATTTTCAAGTCCAAATTGTAGCAACAACAAAGAAGCCCGAATCTATCTTCCAGCCCGAGCACTGTTCAGTATTTTGGCCATATCTAGAGTTCTTGAAGTCCAAATGAGTTGAATTTTTTACACAAGAAAGCTGAGACAATTACCTACAACTTTCATGTTTGCAACTGGCTCCAGTTTTAGGACGTCCGTTTCTTGCAACCTCTAACGCATTGATTAATTGTAGGAATGGACTGATGAAGCTATCATTTGGAAACATGACATTGGAGATGAATATTTTCAACATTTGCAAGCAACCTGGAGATGATAATGATTTACAAGAAGTAGATCATATTGATGAATTAGTTTATGATCAACTTGAATCTACTTTATGTAAAAATGAGTTAGATGAATCTGAAGATTTGCAAATGATTTATTCTGAGGAAGAAATCATGGATAACAAACGCACAGAAAATGTTGATGCGAATCTTTTGTCAACAGTGACAACAGATTCGATATCTAACATCACACCAA